AAAAAAAAACAAAAAAAACTCAAAATACAAAAATAAAACTAAATATAAATATTAAAGAAAACGCCCATAAAGCGAGAAAAACAAAATTGATTTTGTGCCTTCTTAAAAAGTTCATAACATTAATTTTTAGCAACATAAGAAAATGTTATAAATTTGCAGCTTTCGTCCTCAGCTCGATTGGAAGGTTAAAAAAATGTTGGCTGCGCGCAGAAGTATGCAATGAAATTGTGTATTGGACATCTGTACATTAATGCACCCAACCGTGGCAGACAGACAACAAATGGCCTAAGAAAACTTATAATGTCAGATAAATGATGTTAAAATAAGATGTATTACAAAATACTATCTTAGATATCCATAAATATGCTCAAGTTAAATAAATTGTAAAATGCTGATTCTAGCCATAGCACCTCAGCTTTTGTCAGCGAGCATTCAAAGTATAAGCCGCACAAAAGTATGCTACGAAAAATTAACCAACTGATGCACGGTCAAGAAATATGGTAGTTGAGTGTGACTGTAAATATCTATGTAAGATAATGAAAAAATATATATATTACAAAAAATAAAATGTTTATGTAGTTAGTTAAAATGTATATAAAGCTATAAATAAATGCGGCACACCCAACCATCACATATTTAACACGTATGGAGTTTTCTGCGGCTGCCCAAAAGTATGCAGCTTTAAATAACATGTGTGTCGCCCTGTGCACCTTGCGTATTGTAGCCGCAGCACAAAAACCATAAGAAAACACAATTTGATTGCACGTAAAACAAATATATATATGTATATGCGTTTGTGTGTTAATGATACATCAGCTTTGTCAGTGGCTGCCTGGATCAGTTCGATAGTATTCGAGTGTCGACGTGTGAATCGTGGAGTGTGAACACGGAACCAGTTGAACCAATCAATTAGCTACCTAATCCTAATCTTAGTGATCTTTCAAGTTATCTTAGTTAGTCAGGATTGATTCTGGAGCCAGTTAGTGGGTGTGAGTATCTCCGTCCTTGGCGCATGATGACAGATTAAAGGTCATTCGCTCGAAGGGGCTCAGCTTGCAAGGACGCAGCTCGTCAATGATCTCACGCGGCTGGGCGCGTAGTATACGCATGCGCTCCTCATCGACGCGACGCTCCGTGTCCGCCTCCATGTCGAGTATGGCCTGCTTGAGCATCCGGTCCTCTTCGACGGCCAGGGCGCGGAGTCGTGCATTGTGCGCTATTTCGGCGGCGCTGGCGGCAGTTCCCATCTTATTGATTTCGCGCCTGGCCGCCTCCTTGGCGAGGGTCTGTTGATATTGGCGCTGCATAAAGCTGGTGGCATCCGTGGGTATGGTGCTGAAGAGTAGCTCGTTCTTTTCGCGGAAGAACTCCTTCTCCTCGTGCTGCTCAATCAGATCCTTGGCCACCTGCAGCTTCTGGTTATGGCGGTCCAGCACCTCCTGGCGCGCCTTCTGCTTCTCGCGTACCTGACGCTCAGACACCAAAATGTCGCCCAGCATTTTGTCGTGGGCCTCCTTCTTGCCGCGTATCTCGGCCAGCTTCGCGGAAAGGCCGTCACTGATGAGACGCCGTCGCTCCAATAAGTCCAGCTTCTGCTGAATCGCCTGCCTCATGAAGCACTTGGTGACTGGGCCCACAGCCTCCATCAGTATCACATTGAGCTTATCCGGCGGCACCGGATTCGCCTCCCGCAAGCTGCGCTGCAGCGCCGAGAAGTCGTCGAGCATCTTCTTGAGCTCTGCTCTCTTCCTGAACTTGCTCTCGATGCCCTCCTTCACATCGTTGGCGTGGGCCTGCTCGTCATTGTAGCGCTTCAGTCGACCCTCCTCCATGTCGGCCATCTCTTTCTCTGCCCGCTCCGCCTGCAGCTTGCGTATCTGGGCCACCAGCTGTTGGCTGTATGCGAGCGTCTTATCCCGCAGGGCTTGCTGCTCGGCCTCCTTCTCTTTGCGCACCAGCTCCCTGTCCTCGAGTGCCTCGCGGCGCTCCTCCACCCGCTCCTTGCCCTTGTTTCTCATGTTCTCGTTGCGCTTGCTCACCACGCTCAGCGTCGTCTTGGCCCGCTCGATCTCAATCTGCAGCTCGCGCACCCTCTGCGAGTTGATCTGCAGCTGCTTGGAGCGCATTACCTCGGCGAACTCCCGATTGTTGCGCTTGGCCAGCTTGCCGGCGATGAGAGCCGACTGACGCTCCCGCTCCTGTATGGGATGGTAGTTCCTGTTCCGATCGTCGGCTATTTGCTGCACCTGGTACTTGACCTCGCGAAAGAGGCGGCTTGTCGTGCTGGTTGGCGCCAAGATCAGCGGCGAGGCTTCCATCTCCAGGGCCCTGTCCCGGCCCTCCCGCGGCAGAGGCTTCAACAGGCGCAGCATATCGCCCACCGGCTCCTGCGGCACGGTCGCAAACAGCGACACGCCCGGATTATCCCAGGCGCCGTACTGAATGCGCGCTGGCTCAATGCGACGCCGTCGGCCTCGACGCAATCCCTCAGCCATGATGCCACCTCTGATACTCTCTCGCACTCAATTCAGCTCGCTTATTGCTGTCCTCTGTGTTCTCCCTACTTTTGTCTTTCTTCTCTTTCTTCTGTATTTTCGTGTCGATGCTCTTGCTCTCGAATCATCCAAACTAACTCCTAGCTGTGTGCTTGAACTGAACAAAACTTACTGTGGAACTGACTGGGATCAGCCGGTAGCCCAAGTGCCTTGACTTGACGTCTAACGCTCGGGTAAAGCGATTCGGGCAGCACCCTATAAATTATGAGAGGAGGATGTTGGCTGGGGTCAACTGAAAATTTAATATATAAAAAATAAATTAAATATACAATATATAAAATATAAAAAATATTTAAATATGTGCATAATATAATTCTAAATATATTTAGTCTATTTAAGTATGTATGTTCAAAATAAAAATGATATGATGTTTTGATAATTTAAAAATATGTATTAAATACGTTATATAAAATAAATAAAATATATATAAAACTAAAAAATACTCTTGTATGTATAATAAATAACTAAGAAATAAATCGCAAATTTTGTATAAATTAAATATTCTAAAATCACATATAAAATTAAAAAATATTCTTATATGATAAATAACTAAAAAATAAATCACAAATTGTTTATAAATAATAATAATAATATACTCTAAAATCACATTTGAAATTAAAAAATAATCTTATATGATAAATAATTAAAAAATAAATCACAAATTTTTTATAAATAAAATATATTCTAAAATCACATATAAAATTAAAAAATATTCTTATAAAATAAATAACTAAAAAATAAATCACGAATTGTTTATAAATAAAAATAAATAAAATATTTTTAAACCATATAAAATTAAAAAATAAAAATAAATAATTAAAAATTAAATCACAAATTGTTTATAAATAAAATAGAATACATATAAAATTTAAAAATATTCTTATATAATAAATAAAAAAAAATTAAATCACAAATTGTTTATAAATAAAAATAATGAAATACTCCAAAATCACATTTGAAATTAAAAAATATTCTTATATAATAAATAACTAAAAAAAATAAATCACAAATTGTTTTGTAAATAATAAAAAAAAATAGTTGAAAAGTAATTCTCAATTAGTTTATAAAACAAAGTAGATATAAAAAAATTAATTCTTATCGTAAACTTATTGAATTTTTTTATTAATTGTATTTTTTGTTTTTTTTTTTTTTTATTTCAAATTCAATTTTTTTTTTTTTTTTTTTTTTTTTTTTTTTTTTTTTTTTTTAAAATTAATTTTTTTTTTTTTTTTTTTTTTTTAGTTGTACAATTTGACAATTTGACTTGAAGTTTAAACATTCTTCTTCTTATTCATGTTGTGGTTGCTTGGTTCGGCTAGAATTTGGGTTAAATAACTTTTTGAAAGTGTTTACAATTAGAGATGAATGTAGCTCAGCATAGAATGCTGGGTATTCGCGTACAAACCTAATTAAAGACTAGTAAGATAATAGTCGCCGGTTGGCAATGCTCGACTGCGACTATACCCTGTACTTAACAACTGTACGAATGCAAGTTTAGTTATAGATTTTGGTAGTTTGATATTATAGGTATTAAAAACTGATTTAGCTACACATAGAATTGACGGACTCACGACTCACGACGGACATACTTTCATAGAGTAATACTTTGTTATATATATTTCTTTATATATATATTTGTTTCAACTGCTACTGTAATACTTTTTTTTTAATTTTAATTTAATTCTGAAAACATTTTCGTATTCAACTTGTGGTTGGCTCTTAAGACTTTTAGTACTCGATAATTGTGGATGGACCGAATGGCATTTAACGAATGCTTTCCAGCATTTCTGACGGCAACAACTTTCACTGGCAGAATTTTAGAGAGCCCTATGTATACGTACATACATATATATATATATAGGGAGATTTTCATTATGATATTCAATCTCTCTATGCTCTATGCATAGTTCTTCTATTATTTCATATCTATGCGCTCGCTTGCTCGCTCTTTGGCTCTAGCGCTGTCTCTTTCTATATCGTGTTTAAGACCTAAGTTTTATGTGATTTTTCTCGTAATCATATTTAAAAGTTGACCTTTGACCTGCGCGGGCGGCAGTGAGCGGAGGGCATTCGCTTACAGTACTTTAAATTCACAAATTCTATTTTTGCCCAAAAATTCAACGAATCACAAACTCCATTTGGTTTTTGTTGTTGCTAAACGTTAAGGGTTTTCTCTTTTTCTCTATGAACTAACTAGAATTCTTTGGAAATTCGCGTATATGCCAAATATCAGCAACTCTATATATATATATATATATATATATAAATATATATATAAATATTTTGCATATTTCAGTTAAGATTCGGAAACTTCCAACACTTGAGATCTATCTGGCTGAACTTGGGCTCAGCTCCTAAAAAAAAACACACCTAGAGAAGTAAATACAATTTGGCTGTAACTGTTATCGATCTGTCGAGCGATTGTTATATATAAAGTTTTATAAAAAAAAATATTTATCAATATTTAACACAAAGGCAAATTTGTTAAAACAAATAGGTTTGGAATTTTGATTTGCTTGATTTTTGATCGCACAATAGCGATAACGATAACATGATCGATAACTGGTTATTGTTCGGCTTCTGCATCAACTTCTGTTTCTGCTTGCGCCTTCTGTTGCTATTCAGAGCTTAGACTGTGCTCTACTACTTGTTGTTATTCTCCTGCAATAGGTCCTCGAGTGCTCCATTGAGTCGCCCCTTGCTGAGCGCCTCGACGAGCATGTGCAGCCGCTCCTCGCGCTCCGAGTGACGACGCTCCAGCAGCGAGACCTGCAAGGATTCAGAGTTTATAGGGGGTCCACATATGTCGAGTTGGGGCATTACCTTGGCCTTCAGAGCATAGTAATCGACGGGGACCTTGCGCCGTTTCTGGGTGGCGAACGCCTCCTCGCGCTCATTCAAACGCTGCTGTAAAATGCGCACCGTCTCGTTGCACGAGGCCAGCTCTCGCTCGTGGGCGCTTTGCAGCGTCTTTAGCTAGACGAGGAGAGGCGGGCAGAGAGCGAGAGCGAGAGAGAGAGAGAGATAGATTAGCAACTATTCCCATTATATTAACTACTCGTTTGTCACTCACATCGTGCAGTCGCTTGTCATGCAACGTCTTGTAGTCCGCCTCGAGCAGATGGAATTTGTTCTGCGCCTCCTTCAGTGCCTGATTTTCCGTGGTCGCCGGCACATGATCCGGATAATGCTGATGATAATGATGATGATCGTGTCCACGACGCTGTGCCGCGCCGCCGCTGGCCAACATGCCAGCCCCATGCAAGCGAGAGCCTGCAAGGAGAAGTGAAGTTTCTGAATGTGATGAAAGATATGATAATGCATATATACTCTATATACTCTATATATCTATCTATAAACAATAATCATATATAATAACTCTTAACCTAGCTTAGTTAAATCTAATTGAGTTTGAGGCCAGGCAATACTTTTCATATGGTTTTCAATTAGTTCTCAGTTCGGTATTTCGGTTTGATTTTGTGAATGTAACAAATAGAAGAACGCTCGGTAGATCCCAGAGGGTATATATATATCTCATTAGGATGACTGCCTGAGTTCATATAACTGTGTATGTATGTCAGTTTGTATGTTTGAGTTAACATCTGTTTGTCTTTTGCGATTGTTCCTTCTATACGTCCGTCTCTTCTTCTATACGTCCGTCTCTTCTTCTACACATCCGTCCTGCCTTCTACACGTACTTACGTCTTTCTACTCATCCGTACCTCTGTCCATTTATCAATCTCAGTAAACTAGAGATTTGATATTTAAATTTTATACTCCTGACTATCTTACGCCGTAATGCGAGTGCAAGGTCTTTGCTATTTGATAGCTCATACGATTTCTTATAATTGCTCATTTTACTGTATTTGTTTAGGCGTACCTGGAATACCTTACGAACTTTAGATTTCAAGTTTTCAATAAGTATTGCGCTTCAAATTACTGAAAGATATTTGAAAAGTGTAATGGGTATATCCCCTTAAGTCAATTGCTTCTTCTCATGTGACTCGAGTCTTCAGAGTAGTGTTTATAGTTTGCCGTGATATGTTTATTATTTATTTTCGAATGTCTCAGCTTTGCCAGTACAGCATTGTACCAGCATTGTAACCCCGAGTAAGGTGCTCGGGATGTCACTGACTTGGCATGGGAGACAAGCGATTCCACTCGCGACTCGCATTCCATATATACAAATTGGTGCCAGCATACAGCGATCCGCATGGGTATTTTCCCATTAATTGAAAGCTGAGCGACCCAAACAGTTTGCACAGTAACTAGGATACGTAGAATGCTCTCCAAGCTTCTCAGAAGAAAATCGATTTAATTGGACAACGGCAATAATACATATGAGGCTCTATTCGTGCGTGAAGAATGCAATGAATAATAAATAGTGAATAACAAATAATTGAATTGAATTGAATAACTTTTCCAAATACTACATAATAGAGGCATAAAGGCATAATGGCATAATGGCATAAGGCCATATTATCACGTGGCCAATTAGAGGCTGCTTTGGCTCGAAAGTTCAATGCACTTTGCACAAAAATGAAACTTGCCGAATAAAATCAAATTAAAGCTAAATAAAACTACAATAAAAAAAAAAAAAAAACGAGAGAAGAGCAGCATGATGAAGAAGTAGATATAATGAAATAACGTCGAATTGCATAACCAAAAGGCAAAAACCAAAAAAGTAAATAACCAAAATTTTAATCAACAAAATTTGCATTTGAACACGCGCTGAAAATTAAAATAAAGTTACTGTTGTTGTTGTTGCTGTTGCTGTTGCTGGTCTATTATTAGCACTAGAAATAGTTGTTGCTGTTATGGCTGTCATTTAACAAACAGACACAGACACAAACAACAACAACAACAACAACACGCTGCCAATGTAAATGTAACATTAACAACGCCGCGCCGATGAAGCGACTAACAAGACATGAAATTATAAAACGCTGCGCGCATGCGCGCATGCGCAAACGACAAACGACGCATTAGCCACGCCTCCCCTCTCCCTCTCCCTCTCTCTCTCCACTACCTCCGCCTCCGCCTCCCTGCTCGACCGGCACGCCCCTGGTGCCAAGTGTGGCCGCGTCTTTGACTTTGACTTTCGCTTTCGAATTTTCTTTTTCTCTTTCTCTTGACAACAAAAAATTAAATTTAAAAAAAAAAAAAAACAATAATAATACGAAAAAAAAATGCAAACAAATTCAAATCGATGAAATGCAAATAAAAAAAATTATATGTGTGTTCCCTCTCACTGCCCCCCCCCCCCCCCCCCC